AAGAAACAACCCGAGTAGGTGCTAGGGGTGCAAACCCTAAACACACAAGAGTACAAGAGTGCGCTGCCAAGAGCACTTGGAATTCAAACACACACAAGATGTCAACAGCAAGTTCTCAAGAGCGATTGCAGCACAGACATGCCATTCCTCTCAACTGGCAAGAGCGACCAAAGCACAAACATGCGGTTCCATGAGATGCCAAATGCACATGCCATCTTAAAGGGAGAATTAATCAGAGGATCAGAGGCTTCACCCTATGCCAACAGCAAGTTTTTAAGAGCGATTGCAGCGCAAACATGCCATTCCTCCCAAGTGGCAAGAGCGCCCCGAGCTCAAACATGCCGTCCTCCCCTTCCCCTCCCCCCCAAAAAAAATAACATTGACGAGTGGCAGGCGTAGAAACAGCAGCAGAAGCAGAAGCAGAAGCAACAGCAGCGGCAGAAGACCCATAACATAATAACAACAGCACCTCTTTCTTTCTTTCCTCCTCTTCCTCCTCCTCCTCCTCCTCCTCCTCCTCCTCCTCTTCTTCTTCTTCTTCTTCTTCTTCTTCTTCTTCTTCTTCTTCTTCACTTCCTCCTCTGCTTCTCTTTCTCATTTCTTCTTTCTTCTCTTTTCATCTGTCTTCTTTTTCCCACTGCTGCTACTACCCCTACTACTACCTACTACATACTTCTGGTACAGCTGCAACTACTGACAGTCATAATCATCTCGCATAAGTGAGACACATTGTATGGCAATTTACAAAACATGATGAGAACTAGTATTACAATCATAATTTCGACAACGATGAGCAATCAGGTTCTTACCTCCTCTATTCTTGCAAAGAGAGTCCTCCCCCTCTCCTCAGCCTCCTCATCTGTGAGCTGCGACATCTCCTGTGCAAAGTTGCGAAATTCGCTGGCTATTTTCTCCTCGGCCTGAAACGTTTCGACTGGCTGAGCATTCCTCAGGAACATTATTGTCGGATACCCTGATACCAGGGGGCTTCCACGGTTGCGCCTGTAGAGCATTTTTTAACAGAAACACCCAATCCGTAAATACTAAATACTAATTAGTAAATAGTAAATAGTAAATAGTAACATACTAAATTAGTGAATTTGCTGCTGCCCTTTTTTTTTTTTTTTTTTTTGTCCTTCTGTCTTCTGCTTTTCTTCCAGGTGTGCTCCTCTTGTAGAGTAAAATTCTCCAAGAGTTAGCTGCACACCCTCTCGTAAAGCCTATTTGGTGTGAATCGGCCAATCACAAAGCCGTCGGCGGAGTATCTGTGATTCCATGTCCATACCAGCTCTGCTGTACCCTTTTCTGTTGTTGTTGTTGTTGGTAAAAGTTGGACCTTTTTTTTTTCTTTTTTTTTTATATATATATATATATGGACCATTTCTCGATTGATATGTCATCCTTGTGAAGGGGCCATGCTTATCTTTTTCTTTGCCTCATTCCAATTTTAAACCGCCAGTACATGGCCCCAGCCTTGCTGAACAAGAACCTTGTAGCCTACAAAAAAATTGGAGGCTAGGCCTACCGGACCACGATGGCTGGTGGTGCCAGCCAAAAACGAAAAAAAGTGCACCGCTGGCGGCACGGAAAAGCTTCTGCAAGGCCCGGGTGTACCGGTCGGATGTCAGTCAGTAAGCACTTTCACGGTTTCACCCTTTCTTTGATCCAATTTTAAACTGCTACAGTCTTCCCCCGAATACAACGTACGGTCATTATAGCTGAATTTGGTGTATCTTTCAGTCCACGGCCCCAGCCTTGCAGAAAGTTTTTGTCGCCACGGCCCCAGCCTTGCAGAAAGTTTTTGTCGCCCCAGTTCATTATAGCTGAATCCGTACGTTGTATTCGGGGGAAGACTGTAGTACACGGCCCCAGCCTTGCAGAAAGTTTTTGTCGCCAC